GTATCACTTTGTAAAGTATTTTGATGTGAGTGAAGGGCTGGTGGGAGAAAAGGACCCCTCTTCTTTGGTAGGGCTGAAAAAAATGACAGGCAAATGCAGGGTAGCATGTCAAAGAGATGGCAAGTTCTGTGGAAGTTTCATAGATTTCTTCTGAATTGTGTGTATGACTTCAAGAAAACCAGCTGGTCTTGTGTCTGTTGCAAGGATTTGGTATGTGCATATGTGAACTTTCTGTCATATGGATTATCTACTAACTCACCGAATCTCCCTGAGTTCTGTGTGCTTAAATCCATAAAAATGGGGTTTTCTTTGTAGTGTGCCTATGAAAGGTTTTAATGTGAAGCTCAAGTGATCACTGCAATGCAATGAAGTGATAGCCTTTCTTACTTGCAGTCTGAAGAAGGTGTATGTTTTCCTTCCAGCAGTCACTAGTGGAAGCAGGTTGTCTTAAATGTGCCTTGGCCAATTTAAACGTTGGCCCCTGGCAAAGCTGGCCAGAAGGAGAGTGCTGTGCTGACAGAACTGCTGATTCTCCCCTGCTTCAAGGAAGGGATAACCCATTTTTGTTCCTGTCTGTAGTCTGCTTAGCTTTCTCTCTCCAGCTTGTATGTGGATCAACAGGGAGGTCAAGCGTAGAAAGGGAAGTGATCCTTCAGCAGAGTGGGAGCAGGGGTCTTGCTTCCCAGTAGCATTGTGCAGGCAAGCATCTACATACACTGAGGTTTTGAGACTTCCCATGGCTGATGAGTTTCAAGAGATACAAGGCCATGAAAAAAACCATGGGTTTCTGTTTGCATAAGTTTAATGAGCCCTTTCTAAAGGTTCAGTGCATAGACTCCGACCTGTTTCACTTCAAGTGTCAGGTATGTTTGAACTTTAAGTGAAACATTAGCTAATGCATGTCTGGATTTTGTTTCCTTCAAGAGGCCCTAAGTCTCCAAATAATTTCTGGGATGTGAATCTTTACTGAGGTTTTGAGAACTTTTGTCTGACACTTGTGTTTTCTTAAAGCAAGTAGTAAGGCTGGATTCACTCCACTCTGTGAGAAGGTATCTGTATTCCCTGGAGCTAGTTGCCCTCCTGGAGGAGAACTTAAGGGATGTGTTTACTAAAATGAACTGCTGCATGTTCTCATGTCTACATTGGAGAGATGAGGAGTGTGTGCCAAGTCTCAAACTTATTAGGAAAAGAAGGCATAATAAGCTTATTTTTTTCCCCTGCCTCCTCTCCTCCTTTTTTTAAAATTGAATTCGGAAGACAAACTTCTGGAAGTTAAACTTGCTCACCTCAAGTGTGAAGGAGAAAGACAACAAGCATCTGCATCCTAAATGGGCTGAAATCACCAGGTATATTAGAATTCAAGTTGTGTTTAGGTGAGTACCCTGAAATAGTAGGATCACTTTTTCCTCAGCTGTGAAGTCCAGAGGATTTTATCAGGAGTAACAATTGTTTGGTGAAGCTGATTAGAGACAGCTGTCACCTGCTAAGTAAGCACTTAAAATTAATAAAAATTTTTCTGTTCTGTATTTGTTTGGAAAAGAACTTATTAGTTGGTATGGTAGAAGGGATAAAGCATGCAACTTCATATTTCTGTATTTACTTTTGACAAAATCGCTACACCTAAAGTATGCTGCTGGACATTGTCTACTTCTGCTTCATCTCTGTGTGAATGTTTTGACATAGTGTCCTGTAAACTGGATATGGAGCTGTTGGAGCCATGTTTGACTTCAGTCATTAGCATTTTGGATAATATGTATGTACAAATTCTATCTGCTTGTAAAGCATGTGTAGATGTGCACAATCTTCGTCCTTTTCTTCTCCTGAGGTGAGATTAGTAGAATCTCTTTGAACTTGATCCCAAAGACAAAAATCCTGGTATGAAATGGAGACACACTTCAGTGGAGAGTCTCTAAATGGGATGCTTGAATGGTCTGTGTCCAAGTAAATAAATATTTCCTCAGTTTCAAGAAACATGGCACACAGCTGCTCCTTACTCCTTCTTTTAAAATAACAGGCCATTTGCTGACTGAAGCAAGCTATTGACATTATTGCTAGCAGCTGCTGAACTCTTAGTGTTAACTTAACTCATAAATGTTAATTATGTTGCAGTTTTGTTAGAGCTCATCTGCATATCCCAGAGGCACTAGCTAATATGTAATGTTTTTTTTCCACATGAACTGATGACATTTCTTAGTGGAGATTCCAAATAATAACTTCTGAAGTAATTTCAGTAATTTTACTGTAGTGATGAAACTTCTCTTTTAACTACAGTTTCACTAGCACTAGTATAGCTTTACTTAAGTGTGTTTCAATAGGCTCAGAGCTGCTGAGCATGTGGTGGAATGAGTATGAAGCAGAAGGAAATACGCTATGTGCTTACTGACCTGTTATTGGGAGATCTGTGACAAAGTTAAATCCAAAGCCAAACTGAACAAAATCTGTTAAGTTTATCCCATGCTTTGGTTTAAAGTCACTTTTGTGTTGTTATGATTTTGCTGCTATACAATTGTGAAAAGCTTACATGAAATGTTTACAGGCTACTGTAAAAGTGTGTGTTATCTGCCTAATAACCACTTAAATGATGTTTTGGGGCCTTTTAAAAGTCCCTCCCATTTTTCAGCCAGTGGGGATGTGTTCTTTAAAACAAAGCTCCCAGACAAACGAATCCTTTTTTCCCTTCAGGTCAGTTCTTTGTAGTTCTTTGCTAGTGTTCTTTATAGCAAACACTGGTAAACTTCCAGAACCTGCTTTTGAGATTGTCAAAATGATTGTGACTATACCATGAATGAAAGCATAGATAATGAAAGCTGCTGTATTATCATAGTAGTTTAACTGTTTGACTTTAGTCATTGTGATGGTCGGAAAGAGGAAGGACAGTGTTGTTGCTAGTGCATACTATATAGAGAAGTGACACTTAGAGCATGTAATAGTTGTTCTCTCATCCTTACTTTTTTGTGGTCATCTGGTGGACCTTTTTCTCTCAAGGACAGCGGTATATGTTTATCAGAAGTACACTTTGTGCTTGGAGGATATACTGCCTAACAAACTAGTTGGAATTGCAGGTAGTCTGGTCTTCTGTTATCAGCCTGTGATTGCAGGTTAACGTGGTGACAATGCAGCCATTCCCACACAGAGCTATGTGCTCTCTGCTGTGTATTTGGTCGGTGCTTTGGTTGCATGCATGTGTGGTTTTTCTTCCTCAGGGTTCTTTCCTGGCTGCTTGTCACTGAAATGGTGTGCAGACAGGCACAAGTATTGCAGACTGATGCTAGATGAATCCAAACCTGTATGGTGGGGGGCTCCAACTTGAGCTGGAACCTCTTGGTCTTTTTCAGATAGATGTCATGCAAGAAAGTACGATATGGGATGAGGAAGATCAAAATATAACCAGTTGTTTGGTTTTTCTTTTTTTTTTTTTGGGGGGGTGGTATCAAATCAAGTATCAAATCAATGCTATGTAAGGCTAACATCAGACCATCCCGAAATCTGTGAACAAGGGTTTGATTTCACAATATTCAGTCATCTTATTTCCAGGGACAGAATTAAATGTCACTCTTCTTTAGGCAGAGGTGTGTGAGAATTGTTTTCTGGATTTGCTCATAAAAGCCCAGAGAAATATTGGATAGAACACAATCCAGTAGCTTTTGGTTAGAAATGAAGCAGAAAACCTCTTGGGAGAGTAGAGGGGTTTTCCAGATTGTGTGTGAGGTTCAAATTATAATTCAATTACTAATGTTTTGGGGAAAATGTGATGGCAAAAAGAATTCTGGATTTTAAAAACTTAAGAGTTCACTTATTTCTAAAGAAGTGGTATAGTTCATTAGAGCTAGTATGATCATCCAGCTGTCAATTCCGGTCATGTCTGTTCAGTAGTTTTCAACGGGCTTTTAGTTGTTGTTCATTTTTTCCTTTTATTTTTCTTCCAAAGGTCCACATAAAAATTTTACTGCTGCTCTTGATTTCTGCCCCATCTACATGCATATCTCATGCAGGAGATGGAGACAGCTTGTTGATATTGGATACAATTTCATATATCCAGAGTGGCACTTCAAAGAAGTAAGAAGAAAACACGCAAATTAATTTTCTCAGTGGTGACTCCAAGTGTCTTGTTTTGAGTCTGAAAGTAAATTTCCTGTGCTGCATCCTTACACTGAGAGTAGAAGCATACTCAAATGGCTGAGTTCAGGAAATCAGTTAAGAAAATAGTGACTTGAATATTGGCCTTCTTCAAAATTCTTGTTCAGAAATACCTTCTTGTGGCTACACTCCAAATTATAACTTGAGTTTTTTTCAACCATATTGTGTGTATTTTGGCTTTGGTGTGAATTGAGTGCTGATGAAAAGGGTAACTGACTTGGATGGAAGTTTGCATGTAGAAAGATGTACCTGAAAAATCATGGCTAATGCAGTAGTCCTGAAGATAATCTCAGGTCAGTCCCTGGACCAAAACAATGAGATAGACAAACAAAACAAATTATCCTGAGTAAGGAGCTTTCCTTGTTTTTGTTTGTTAATTCTATAACCTACTCAAAAGACTGAATGGATGACCTAAATGTTACTGCAAATCTCATTGTTCTAAGTCTCTGAGCAAAAGAATAAATTGATCGTAAACATTGTCCCGCATTCAGGGATTTGATTTAGGATTTGTAAAGGACTTCAAGAGAGCAATAGTTAAAAGAGGTTAACATACATAGCATACAACAGTGTATGGAGTATGCTGATTTCTTTACGGTCTACATTTTGAAACCCAAACAGGCTAGTGAACTGCCAGAGTGCTTGTCTCTCCAGTTGGGGAAGGTGCATCACCAGTACCATCTTTCATATTATTTGTGAGGCTCATAAGTAGGAAAAAACAATCGAGTTGATTTGGCAGAAACTTGCGTTTTAGTAGGTAACTTGTGTGGGGAGAAGAAAAGTGATGAAGAAAACCTGAAATGTCAAAAGATACAACAGAAAAGTTGTCAACAAATTTAATAACATTTTTTGTTTCTCTCTTGCAGACCTTCAAGTGCTGACCTTCTTGGTCTATTAAGTTATTATAAACTTTTGCTGCTCTGCGAACATATAAAGATGTCTCGCAGCCCTGACGCTAAGGAAGACCCTGTGGAATGCCCTCTTTGCATGGAGCCTCTAGAAATTGATGACATCAATTTCTTCCCTTGCACCTGTGGGTACCAAATCTGTCGTTTCTGTTGGCATCGTATTCGCACTGATGAGAATGGACTTTGTCCTGCTTGCAGAAAGGTAAATCCCTGGAACAGCGACTTGTCTTGCATATTTCACAAGGCCTTTGTATGTGTTGGTACCAAAGATATCCTTTTCCTTGACGGAAACAATAATGTAATTATGGTCTAGATCAAGGGTGAGGTGTTGTATCCTTCAGATTCTGTCTGCATATGTATTGAAGCTGTTACAAAATTGCTGGTCTTGGTTTATTAAATTCAGAACTGGAGTGATAGGGGAAGCTATGGATCAGAACCAAGGCATGCTGATGCTGAGAAAACTGCCAAAAATAAAAATCCTGTGAATTGGGGTGCTCATGCATTAGCAAGTCTTTTTCAGGAAGAATAGTGAGGATTCCAGCGTCGGGTTTTCTGGGAGCTAAGGTTCAGCTAAACTGACAGAGCTGATTGAGAGCCAAGTTTATAAAGTAGCTGCTTGTTTTGTTTGTGGCACTGGGCTTTTAATTCACATTTTTGTGGGTCCTATCCAGTGGTGTTAAATTTTGAACCATTTCAAAATCTAGACTGTGTAGTATTCTGATCTTGCTGCCAAATGCTTGAAGGTAGTACTTGATACTTCCCTGTCTTGATGTCTGGCCTATTTGATTGGCCACAGCTGTAAACCTCAGCTTCACCAAGTTGCCTGTTATTTCCTTTGAATTATTTTATTTCTCCTTCTAGTGTTTTCTTTAAACTCATTATTTCCTTATCTTCAGTGTTTAATAAAATTCCTTTTCAGTATCTTCTTGCCTTTAATGACTTCCCTTGACTGTAACTTTCTTGCCTGGCCTTTCTCGTAGTTGCAGCTGCTTATGTCATCTTGTTCTCCTACTATTTAATAATGATCGTGTCCCTAGTTGATGCCTCTCTTGTCTTCCTGTCTCATGTTACAGCTTCATTTTCAGACCCCAAGTAATCTTACTTGGTCTCACTATCTTTATTCACTGCCACAGTATTTTATAAGCACTTCCAGTAATATTTTCTTGCTGCTCTTTTGGGCTTTGGCTACACTAGAGCTGCTACTGTTCACCTGTGTTTGGATGCCTCTGCAAGCCTGAAGGCTCTCCCACAGCAACAAGTTTGTTTAAAAGTTCTGTAAGTTTGCTGCAATATTTGAGCTCTGTGTTCTGCAAGGAAGATCCACATGTCATCAGCCAAGTAATTCTCCACTTGGGATACCTGCTGTAGATGACACGTGATGTATAGTAATTTCCTATAGGACAAGAAAATTTCTACTCTTCTGATACAGCATGAGATTTCTGGGATTTCCTTGCCTAAGTTGCTTTGTTTTCCTGGATTTGTTACCCTATATTTACCTATTTGTTATTCGAAGTTTGTGAAATATATTTGAAGCATCACGGAAACAGCATGCTATTCACTGGTTTTGGGTGTCTAAATTCTTTGAAATATACTGAACTCTTAAATGTGGAATACTCTGCCCTATTGTTGGATATGCAAATCTGCCTAATTGGATACAGTTTGCTCAGAAAAACTTTTTAATGAGAAAACCTCAAGTAAGTGCTACAACTGGAGTGAAACATACTGGCCATTCCTGGAGAGAAAGGTGACATCTTTCATAACAGATGAGGATTATGTTGATACGTCATTCATGGACTGCAAGATATTCTTGAGTGGATTTGGAGCTATATTGCTGGATTATAAGAGGTTGGCATGAAGAAGGCTGGCTGAGGAGGGCATTTCTTTCATGGCATAGACAAAGACCTTGTGATGCAGAGACCACACCAGGATCTTGGGAATAAATTCTCTTAAGCCACAGAATTGCAACACTAAATAAGCGAAGATGCCATCTTTTGAAGTGTGCTGGGCAGAAGAAACCAGGTATGTGTATTTGTGTTCAGTGTGCCTAAGTAGTCCCTGTCTGTGCATAGTAAGGCTTCTGGGGAGAGATCTGAGCATTTTTCCATTTGTAACTACTATGGTGTACATTGATTGTGGCCACTTCACATGCTGAAGCACAGAAGGTGCTTCAACAAAATTTTAGCAGGAAAGTTTATAGTAGGTACAATGGTTTTGACAGGTATGCCATATTATTAGGATGAGTATAGCAGTGCAGGATACTTATTGTGAAATGGACTGCAGATAAACATATATTAAACCAAGGATGAGTATGTTATTTACAATTATAATAGAAATTTACTGTTTATGCCAATGTTCTTAAATGCAGTGTGACTTACCCAGTAATTTGAGCACTAATCGATGGAGAGGAGCAGTGAACAAGTTCCCTGTCCAGGGGTTTAGGTTGAGGTGTTTGGGGGTGATTTTGGAGAAGTCTGTAATAAAATAGCTTGGCTAAGTGCTGTAGTGGCACCTATGCTATTAGATCTTAACTGTGCATTGAACTGTGCATTGCATACATATCATTATCTTCCTAAGCTTCTTTAATTCACTTCTAACTGAAAAGATGTTAGCTTGTGGTTTCTTCTGCCCAGAAGGGAGTACTTCTACATGTTTGAACTGTTATATAGCTTAATATCTATCTGCACATGCAGAATATGTTCATGTGGTTGCAGTCAATTGATTTAGGCTGCCTTAAGTTTCCTCCTGTGAATAATAGTAGTACACAAACATTTACTTTAGCAAGGTTCAAAGTGTGAATTAGTGCAAATTAAACTTAAATGCTGGTTGGAAACTGGTACATCTTAATATTAACATATTAAAAACTTGATAAGCTTCATTTGAATCTTCTGAAATAGACTTGGAAAATAGTCTTATTTCTAGAGAAATAATAAATTAAATATAAACAATTTCTAACTCCAAAAATACCTATTTCAAAAAAAATATGGAACCGTCTGGCTTTGGGTTCCTGGTGCCCTTCAGAATTGTAGGTGTAGCCAGTTGTAAGATACTAAGCAAGGCTTTCTGTTTCTTGCAGTTAATTGATTTTTTTTATCTGTGAATAAAATAGCTGCTAACTAGACAAGTTAGAATAAAAGTATGCTGTCTTCAGAAGAGATTTCTGTAGCCAAATGCTGGTTTGCAGGTCAGCAGACTTGCTGGTTCTGATTGTAACGTCAGTGATTTTTGTCTTTGCAGTGATATTTCTATTATCCTTTCTGTACAATTCAGCACTTTAAGTCCTGCTTGTCATGTGAATAATACATACCATCTCAATTGCTTAATTAGAGCATGCCACTCTCAGCCCTTAGTGTCAGTTCCTGCACTTTGTAAATCCAGCAATAAAAATGCCTAGCTTGTTCATGTTTGAATACTTTGCTCTGCCACCAAATAATATCATTTTGATATACAGTTGTTCCTGTGGCGTGGCTTTGGCTTTTTCTCCAGTTCCTTGACATAGTGAAATTTCTCCTATGAGAGATCTAGCACTTTGTGTTAGAGATGGAGGAAAATAGCATACTGCTAAATGTATGATCAAGAAATTAACATGCTTTGTCCATGTTTCTCCTAGTACTTCTGTGTAAAAGGAACACTTAGTCTCAATGCACAGTCTCCACATATCAGTGTTTCCTCCTATGCTTTTAATCCCACAGCTGAGTAGTTTGGTGTAACAATTGATATTTTGAAATGGATAGGAAATTGCTTTTCTAAAAAATGTAAGTATAATGGTGTATACTGTGCATAAACCCTATTGACTTCCATTGTTTCTCTTGTTTCAGGACCTACTTGGTAGCAAGACAACAAGTATAACAGAAATGTTGGTGCATCCATTCTGTGGAAGGAATGTGACCTACCTGGGAATGACAAAACCAAAGTGCTTGATAAATCACAGCTCAGCTTTCAACAAATGGGAAATGGGGAAAAAAAAGTGTGAAATGAAACAAAACTGAAATAACAAGACAAAATTAGTCAGGAAGATGGAGAATTCATCAAGGGCCATCTCTGATTAGATAAACAAAGACTTCAAGAGAGAAATTCGAACTTTTGGTGATGTTCTTGTAGGGACTACATTTCACTTAGTGTAAAGAAAATTTGGTTATATTCCATAATAGAACACTTGTTTGGGGAACCTCGGTGTGTTTTTCTGAAAAGCATTGGTATAACTTAAATTAAAGGTGTCAGCTAAACTTAGTGAATCAGTGATGTTGATATCTCCTAAAATCTTGCATCTGAAAATACGTCAATGCTGATACCACTAGAGATAGCTACTTTGTTTGGATTTCAAATCCTTTGTCAGCTAAGGCATTAGAGAGAGTATGTAAAGAAAATACATTGTTTTTAAAAAAGATGTGGGCATGTCAGTAGCATTTCCACTTTAGTTGTTGAAAGACCTGAGAGCTTCTGATATATATAGTCCTCTCTCTGCTTCTGATTTGTAGGGTTAGACAGCATAAACAACATACCAAATGGTGCTGTGAAGTACACCAGCTGTCAATCCACCTTGCTTGGCTTTCAGAGACTTGTTCCAGCAGTCTGCAGTGCATGTACCTGTTTGTAGTTGAAACATAATCAAAGTTTGTGAACTTCAGCATTGTGGGAAGCAATGACTCTGAAGATGAACTAATTTATTTCCCTATCTGTAAACTGATTTTGTCCCTGATTTGAAAGGAAAATGGTTTCTAATAGTATTTTTTTAGAATTAGTTTCTGAAATGTTGATACTGTGCTTATTGGCCTTCCACCCTCTTTAAATGTGCAATATCTCCTAATTTGTTATTATGCCACATGTGATACATAGCTAGGAAAATCATCTACCCCTCAGTTGTGTTTGGGTTCTTCTTGGGATTCAAGAGATGTGTGCAGATTCATTTACAGGTCCTACAAGTCAATATATCAAACGATTTCTATTCCTTTGGAGCATTATAAGCATATCATATGAGTGATACACATATAAAACATGTATTTAATACAGGTCTACAGTATCTAGTGAGAACTTTGGAAGATTCTGTTGATCAAACAAGTGTGGTTATCCATGATAGCACACCAATTACTGCTGCTACTTACTGACTGAAGTTCCTATTTTGCTAGCCTCAAGCTTTCTGCTGAGATGGAGATATTTCTCTTTCCCTGATTCTGAAGCTGCTGCCTAGTTGTGTTCCTACTAGGAGTTTTTATGCTTTCCTGTAGAAATAAAAACTACTGTTTGAACATATAAATGTTCTGTTCAGGGTTATGCTTGAGCTACCCAGAATGTTTCTTGAATGATGTTCAGGACCTCCAGCAGCAAATAGCTGTACAGAGAAATATCATGTCTGACTTGCTACTCACTTGAGAATATGCTCTGAATGTGGCTGGACTTGGCAAGAAAGAAGTTGATGAATGTTGGCACTGTTTGCTGTAGTTTCCTTGGATCTTCAGGAGCCTTACTGAATCTGCTGAAAACCTTTAATGCATTTCTTGCCTGGAACCAGAGAGTGGCACTCTTGCAAGTTCTGCCTTGATAGTATGGGATGTGGAGTAGGAATTAATCTTTGAAAGAATGGATTGTGGACAGGACATCACTTGATGTAGGGCAAGCCATAGTTTTGGAACTATATCTGTTATACTGGTGCACTTTTCTTCCCATTCCTACCTGAAATCACTGATAAGCGAGATAACTCACTCTTTGCCCTGAGTCATCCTTCTTTCCTGTAAAAGCCCAACATTTTTATTCTTTAGTTTACATGATTGACTAATACAGATTTTGAGAAGCTCATTAAGTGTAAAATTATTCTGCATCTCAGAAGTCCTCATATGTAGATGTGTTAAAACACAAGATAATAATTTGCTATAGCAAATCTTAAGTGACCTTACTAGTTGGCCGTTGGTGTTCATGAAGTGCATTCCAAAATCTATATAACATGTTCAGTGTTAACTCTGAGTTAACTGAGTAACAAATCAGAGTAATACTGAATATCTTTTTGAGAAATGTTATGGTTTTGAGTGTTCTTCAAGGGAACTTGAGTCCTTATTGTGTTAAGGACATCTTCAACTACTGCAAAAGTATCTTACACTTTAAATTCCTTTGTGATACTTAAACATGTTCCAGAGGACTTGCTGTTTGACTGTGAGATGCCATCTGCTCAAGTCAACTGTAGTGTATTTGCAGAACATATCTCACATGTAGCATAGCAGTGCTGAACTTTAAACTGAAAAATGGATCTTGATTTGTTTGGGGATGTACTCAGAAGACTTTCAGGTCTGAGCACTTGGTGGCTCTTTGAGTAACATCATGTGAGTATGAGGAATATATGCTTTTAACCTAAACATTTTCATCTGCTATATATTTTTCTCAGGTTATTTAGTATGACAGCTAGTTTTGTACTCTTGTCATTAACACAGGACAGTCAGGAAAAAAGTTAAATTTATTTTTGTTGGACTTGCACACTGAAACTTTTGGTTATGGTAGTACAAGCAAAGACCTTAGTTCAACATACTGGTGAGCTTGAGCTTAGATTCTTTGTCTTAAGTCTTGTCTTAATTCACATCTCCCATATTCTTCTAATTTTTTACTTCTTGGTGTTTAGAAACTCTTCTTTTTGTTTGAGATACATTTTATGTACTTGTTTTTGTGCTTAGCATTGCTTTCTGTGTACAATGTGAAATCTGACTTTTCAATCTGAAAAAACTGGGACAGGTAAGGAATGTGGGACTGAGTTGAGGAATAATCTGGGGCAGAGGACAGTGCACTGTAGTCTGCAAGACCTAGCTAAAATAGTACATTTATAGCATGAATAGAGCAGTCTTTCTAGGTAACTCTGAGGATACTTGTATTCTTTTGAGATTAAAATATACAGTGTTAGATATGTGTTTGGGGAATTACCTGTAGGGAGGGAGAGACCAAATTTCAAACTGGTACATAAGCATGGCAAGAATACTTGTCATTAATTGCATTGAAATCTGTCTCTTCACTAAAAATGAACCATGTAAACTTTGAGTGGTATGATGATGTTACTGTCTTGAACTTAGTGGACTACTGAAACTACATTTGTATTTTAATTTCTTACCTCAGAAATACTTAAATGTACTGAAGATATTTAAGTATATTTAAGTACCCAGACCTGTATCAGAAATATATAAAAAGTGCATGCTTTCATTCTTCTTACACTAAGCTCTTGATAACGAAATTATAGCACGATGTGTTGGCTGTCATGTTGTAGCTGCTTGGTAATGTTACCAAATTGACTAGGTAGATGGGTTAGAATGTGGTTGTTACCCAATCAATATGTCTATAAATAGAAGAATTCCATGAAAATATGCAACAAGCAAAGCTTACCTTTACCAAAGAGCTGAGTATGCCTCTATAATGAGGGTGGCTGTAGTAATCAGATCAGTATAATAAAGAAATTTTTGCATTAAAACATAGTGATTAATGGTTTTCAAAGGTGTAGTTTCTTATATAAATTTGTTTTAATGCTGTTTGTTATGTTTAGCCATATCCAGAAGATCCAGCAGTGTACAAACCACTCTCCCAGGAAGAGCTGCAGAGGATAAAAAATGAAAAGAAACAGAAACAAAATGAGAGGAAACAGAAGATATCAGAGAATCGCAAACATTTGGCCAGTGTACGGGTTGTACAAAAGAACCTTGTCTTCGTGGTAGGGCTATCTCAGCGCCTAGCAGATCCAGAGGTGAGCAGTTCACACTTTCAGATCTCGCTCTTTACTTGCTGCCATGAAACATTGGAATACCCTTGTGTTTCCTTGAAGGATATGTGTTGAGAAGGTTCACTGCTGTATCAGACCTCACTTCTTAAGGGAACTTCACTTCCTGCTCCATAATAACCTCAATAAGTCCTTGTCTCTGTTTTAGGGAGTAAAACATCTGCTCTGTAATTTAGTTGGGTTTTTTTTGGGGGGCGGGGGGTGTGGGAGAGGGAGTTGTTCTTTGTTTAATAATGGGAGCTTGGTTTTAAGCTAAAAATAAGCATAAAGACTTTTCAGGTACTTATTTTCCTAGGTTGGATCTGATGGCACTATACAGCTATGTTGTGAATCACCAATTCTAAAATGGGAGCTTGGTTGGATTACAAAGAACTGATATACAGTATCACACAAACCTGTAGCGACAGAAGAAAAAAGCTAACACTTGGAAGTATATACTTCCAAGAACCATAAGATTTATGTCCTTGGGAAAAAGCTAATAAGAGGAAGACTCTTTTTCTAAAGTTAGCCTACTACTCTGCATCATCAAAATGAAAGTTTTCATTTGAAAAAAACTGATTATATTTAAAAGGCTTTATTTTCTTTCATCATCAGTCATAGGTGCAGGTGGCCAATGGAGTAAATGCTAATGCATAAAATATCTTGAATTAGAATATGGATAACACAGATGTCTTCAAAATTACAGTGCCAGATTAAGTTCACTGTATCAGACTAAATTATCTGGAGAAGTCTCAAACAGAAGTGGCTGTGATATATCAGAGTATGGTCTGTATTTTGGTAGACAGGTAAAGAACAAATGTAAAAAGCTGCTTTTAGTGAAGGAGAAAAAAAGGAAGGATAAGAAGGGAAAAGATCAAGTTAAAACTGATCTGGTATATAACACTTCAGTAAGTACTGAAATATAACAACAAGTATTTGCAAGCAACTGTCAGCACTGGCTTGGGGCTATTTATCATTGAAAAATGCAATATGAATTCATTATTGAAATTTAATTTCTTTGGCCAGATGGAGGATTTGTAATTAAGAGAAATAGTAGTAAATACAGTTGAATTTTTTTTCACCTCAGATAATTTTATGCTGAATACTTGAAGTAACTAGGAAAGGATTTATTTGGGGGGTGGGGATGTGCTGGACTAGCTGTACTGGTAGCAGTATTCTCAATGACATACCAGAAAATAGGGTGTACTTGCTGAATGTTGCATATAGCATAAGGTGACTTGATCTTCAAGAAACCTGGCGTAAGAGAGATGAGCTGAAAAAAGTATACAATATATTCAAGTTTTCCACTTAAGCAGTCAAAAAACTTCTTCATAAATTGAGATTATTTGGAATGGGAGCTTGGCTGCTATGAGCTGTTTCTGGAAATAGGTCTGTGGATCATAATGGAGTAGAGCATGTCTTCTTGACATGCTCTTAGGAGAATTATGAAGGCTATGCTGTCATACTGTACCAGGAGTATAATCTGTAATATGCTTAGGTAAAAGGGAAGTTTCTTTAGGATTGTCATTCTCTTCTGGAGTGATGTCTTCAGGGTGGGTGTACTATGTTTCAAGAGGGTGTAGACCAAATGAATAGCAGTCACAAGACAGCAGTGAATGATTGATTATCTATACAACATACTCTGTTGCTCTTTGGGATGTTCCAAGTGTGATGCTGTTAGTTCCTGAAGGCATCGATTCTCGCTTGGGAAGGGAGAGCAGTAGTTTAGTTCTTGGGTCAGTACAGTTCACCTACACTATCCAATGCTAATATGAAGATGGAGATGAAGATGCAGCAGAGGAAACAAATCTTCCTTTATAACCTCTCAAGTTATTATCTAGAACTAGAAATGACCTTATTTTGTCTAGCTTCAGCCTGAGTAGTTAGTACTTCTGTACCTTCTTCTGTCACAGAAATGGGAAAAAAAGGCATTTGGTATAAATGTGTCAAACATGCTGCCAGTTTCATTGGCACACAGGTAATGGTTGTGCAGCAGAATTGCTTAATAGGCTGGTGATGTTCTCTTTTTGCACAGGGTCCCTAAATGATGTGTTAGTGCTAACTGATTCCAGGAAGGGCAAGATGAGTGTTTTTTTCCTTTACGGATGTGATAATCACTCATTCATTTCAACATAATACTGATTCTGAAATGTTTTTTCTTGTCCCTGGAAATTTTCTTTTATTGTCTTCCTTTACTTAGTCTGGTCTTTGGAAAACTTGATATTTAGAGCTGATTGGTTTACTCCCTTTTTCTTTGGAGTGTGGGACATGGCAGTCAGGATTCAGCATTTTGTACCTAGTAATTAACACAGCTGAATGCAAGCTTAAGGTGTATGGTTATTGGGAAATGAGAATGAATGTGATTTTTGTTTTTTAAATCAAATTATAAAACGGGTATATCCAGGAATATCTTATGCTGAATGGGATAAATTTTGCCAGGATGGGATTTGGGTAATCAGAGTACTGAAAGAATTTTTTTAAATACAGCATGAAATGTGGGGTATTTGTCAATAAAGTTCTACAGTGACAACGTGCTTTGTATTGAAAGTAACTGTGTTTTTATGTGGGAAAACAAATCTAAATCTTTGTGCTCTTCTTTTAGGAGAGATCTGGCTTTTATTAGTTAAAGGTTTTAGCTGTTTATTCACAGAAGAATAAATACACCTCTATATGAATTATAAGCATACCACTTGAACTTTCTTTTCTTTTAGGTTTTGAAACGACCAGAATATTTTGGGAAGTTTGGTAAAATACATAAAGTTGTCATTAATAACAGCACATCATATGCAGGCTCACAGGTAAGTCAGAGGTCTTCGTAATTTTTTTAAATTCCTTTAGGGAATACATGTGTGTAGAGTGATTCTAGGGCTCCCTGTTTCTGATTAAGCAATAGTTAAGAGTGTAAAAAGAAAAAAAGGCTTTGCAACAATCAAATTACTGTAAAGTTACTGGAGCATTTTCCAACCAGACTCTAGAAGTTGGATACAAAATGCAATGTAGAAAGATTGAAAATTGGGAGACAGGACGAGAAACGTTAAAGAAGCAGCACTACGGCATTTAGTCAATAATCTGCATTTGGGGATAATATGTCTTTTAACTATTTTTAGAACATTAATGCAACATACTGATGGCATTTCCTCTTTTCTTTGCTCTTCATGCATCACATATAAGTTTTTATGGCTTCTGCCTTTTTTGTCAGTTTCTTGTTAAAAACATCAAGCCCTGCATATACCAGTTTATGAAGTGAGTGGCTAAAAAGTTGACTTAATGATCAGATCTGTCTGGGGAAAGAAAAACAAGTAAATAATGTGTGTTTTCTTCCTAGGGTCCCAGTGCCAGTGCATATGTAACCTACATCCGGTCAGAAGATGCCCTCAGAGCCATACAGTGTGTCAATAATGTGGTGGTAGACGGCAGAACACTTAAGGTGGTAATATTTATGTATTCTTGCATATGTATTCTAAAACATTAATATCAGGGATTAGCATACAGTTTTGTTTGTATGGATATGCTTGTATTGCTGAACAACAATTGACTTCTTTTCCGGGTATTAATCTCAAAATGGAAGTTCAGTGAGCATCCAGCAGGTAGTGTTTTGGTGGGTTAGCAGGTAACTTCTTAAAACAAAGTTTGAGATAAACCCGTGTACCTCCTCCCCATCCTCATAGTGGTATTTTTTTTGTTGTATAGCGTAATAGTAGAGTGTGAAAACCCACTGTTTGCTTTTACAGAACATTTCTGTAGTCTGTACACCACACCTCTCAAAAGCTCCCTGGGAAATCAGTCACCTTTTGGTGTCTGTGTAAACAGGTATTCAGGCTGATTTGGCCAAATTGGTGGCTATAGAAAATCTATCTACTATTCATTTCCTGACCCTGCTACATGTCTCCTTATGATTATGCAAATATTAATGAGGCTCTTACTTAGGCATTTATTTAAGTTGGATGAAAATAAAAATTCATCCTAATTATCTAATCCTCAAGAATATATTTCTCTTACAAATGGACTTTTTATTCCATCTGCATCAAAAATGCATTATGATAGAATTTCAAATCTTGAGGTAATTTTTTTAGATATAACTTCATCTTATATTATTAAAGGCATTTTTAACCTCCAGTACTTTTTTTTTTTTCCTTCAGGCATCATTAGGTACAACAAAATATTGCAGTTATTTTCTAAAAAATATGCAGTGTCCAAAACCAGACTGCATGTATCTACATGAGCTAGGTGATGAAGCAGCCAGTTTCACAAAAGAAGAAATGCAGGTAAGTGTAGTGCATGGAAAACACATGAAATGTGCCACGTATGTCTTAGTATTTATGATTTAACCTAATATGTGTAATGTGTTTGCTGAATGTTAGGGCAGCAATGAATTTTGAAATCCAAAAGGTGATTAACCAGTTCTGGATATTGCAAAGAGCAGTTAGTTCAATTTTTTTCATTGCATGCTGTTCTAAAGTCTGGAAGTCCAGTGAGCGTTCATGAGGCAAAAAGATGAAGATAAACTCTTAACCAGGAATTCAAATAACCTGAGCTAACTGCTTTGCCTTTTTTCATAATAAAGTAAGGTAGTGTCATTATAGATTTCTGTGAATGAAGTTTGTTCAGATCTGGGTTTTATTGTAAAATTGGTGTGTGTGTGGAGAGTTATCATGGATTGACTCTTGTTCTGTGACTGACCATGCTGTCTGAATCCAGGTAACCCTCCTACCCTGTGAAGCATTTAGAAATCATTTGCAAATAAAACATTGAGGGTTACTATAATGGTGCATAAAAAAATGATGCTGGGGGTTTTTTACTGTTTCAACATCAAAATGCTTATTGTCTAGGGTAGGGAACCAAGTAAATGGATAGCTTTACTGTCTCAAATGTGGTGCATTCTGAAGTCTTTTGGTGTGTTTCCATCCTCCTACATGAGGTGTGGTAAAGCTGTTAAACTCAAGATGCCAGCCTTGCATCCATGCTGTCATTTTTGCATGTGGTCTGTCCATGAGCAGAGGGTCCCCACTCTTAATGCCAGCACAAATTTTGTTCTAGTAGAATTTTTTGTGTTAGACTGATGTAAGCTGGAGAACAATGTCCATATATATTAAATACTTTCCACAAATTATTTCTGAAGATTTCAGCAGATAATTGCAATAGAAGGAGAAATTCAAGGACAAAGCAGGCCACCTTCCCTGTATGTTTTCCTGTATTTCTCCCACCACCTAGATTTGTTACATATACATGTTTGAGGGTATGTTCTCATCTAGTCTCTTCAGTTTTTTTATAGACCTGTCAGCCATGATTTTATTTAATCCATTTTGAACCTGTCGATACTTTAGTCTTTTGTGGCAGCAAGCCACAGAAATTCACTAGCTGTTTGTGAAGTGCTTTCTTTTGCCTGTGTTAAACTGCAAACTAGTTAGTTTAGTCAAGTGTCCCTTGATCTTAGCTTTGTAGTGCTTGCTGAAAGCAAAACTCCTTATTCACCTTACTCATTGCGTTTGTGATATGGCAAAACTTGATCTATTCTCTCCCAGCTTTCTCTCCAAATCTTAGTTTCTGGTCTTTTAGACTTCTTTTTAAAGCAGTTGCTCCATTTATGCAGTGTCTGTTGCCATTCTCTGTATTTTCTAGCTGTGTCCTCCTTGAGATGGACAGTTCAGATGCATGATGTGTGGCAAGCCAAGTTTAATTTATCAGTTTTCAGTCTTTTATGTGTAGTGTGATACATGCTTTTTAAATTTTGTGTTCATTTATTTGAAGTGGCCTTCTTAGTGATGCCCAGCACATCTTTTGTGGCTAGTGCATAATCAACTAACAGTTTCAGAGGTTTGTTGCAGTAACCTCATCATCTTCTTTCCTGAGCTGTAACAGCCAGTTCACAGATCAGGAGTGCGTTACTATGGTCTAGACTGCTTTTCCCTTCTTGTGTCGTCTGACACGTCCTCGGTGAAGCTTATTTGCCATCATTTGCTTGCTTGCCACTTTCTCTGGGGTTCCTTTGGAGCTCCTCATTATCAGTGTGGCAGTTTATTACCCAAAAGGCTTGATACTGTCAGCAAAGAACTTTCTCATGCATGCTGATGGTGCATAGAACTGATGCCAGTCATCAGTCCTCATTGCTTGCTTCTGCACCCTAAGACTTATATTTAGAGCCATCTTCAATTCACACTCTCTTCTGTGGCAGATTAATAAATAATTAGTGTAAAACCTTATCAAAAAGTTGTTCTTTTAAAGTTTTGTGGAGCCTCTCTATTTATGCTCACTGACTCTGTGAAGAATTCATGTTAGTGAAGCACGGTTTCCCTTTATGAAAGATGGATTCAATCCCAGTGGCTTGTGTTTATCCATGAACTTCTATGGATGGAGGTTTACTTAGCAGCCTGTAGTTCACAGAATCTTTCCTATAGCCCTTTTTGTAGAAGTCAATGACAAACTGTCGATCCTCTGGCTTGACTGCTAGTTAAAATTGATAGACTATGTATCTTGGTCAGGATTTAATTTTCATCTGTGAGTTTCTTCAGAAGTCTTCAGGATTTTACATCATCTTGGTGACTTACATGAATATTTCTTCCCTGTTCCTTGTTATTTTGCTTAAACTTCTTTTGAATTTCATATTGCTTTCTTAAAAGTAATTGGAAATTACACACCTGCTAAGTACATTGTTCTTTTGGTGTGCCAGCTTTCCTGCATTTGTGTGTCAGTGAATTTCCAGGTCCATTTAATGAGATTGAATGTTCATTATTTCAGGTTTTGACTCTGTAATTAAAAAAAAACAAATCAATGGATGAATTTGTATTCTAGGTTAAATAATTAATAGATCTGAATATAGTGGCAAACTAAAAAGAATTGGTAGAATTCCAGGAAGTCTAGGAAAGTGAAGTTGGGAATTTGAGGTGGGTTGGAAATGCCAAGTTTGGCCTCTGGGTTGTCCATTATAAATAAAATACAGCTACTGCAAGCTTCTATAGAGGATTTTAATCTCTTTTCTTTCTTGTGTTTGTGTGGCAAGTGAATGAACTTAAGACTGACCTCTGATGTACCTGGCCATGATATTCAGTCTTTAGTCACTGAAGCAATTGGAGAGATCCAGAGAGGTTTCTTCTTAGTCAGCTGCTTAATGTTTGCAAATTGTTAATTGTGCATATCTGTGCATCAACCTAGTTGCTACAGTCATAGTAGATGGTGAAAGAAGCATTTCCAGGGTGCAGAATATCTCAAGGTTTGCATTTAGGTGAGCCATACTGTAGAACCACACTTTTTCCTACTATAGGTAGCAGCTTGGGTGTGGACACTGACAAAGTAGATAAGATGATGCATACATCAGATGTTTCAATTCTTCTTGAGAGGTATATAAGTTGACTACATAAGAACACATTTAGGATCAATCAGTAGTATGATTACTGATAGGATCAATCAGTAATAATGGAGAATTGGAGGATTAAGTAGCAAAAGAATGGACTCATTGATAGGGTTTGACCTGAAGTATTCCAGTGAGATACACAGTTGTCCTTCTACAGGCACCCATAAGGGAATGTAGTTCATCAACAGTACTATTTTTTTTTTCTTCTATATTGTGTATTCATGCTTAATTTTCAAAAAAAAAAAAAAAACCTCACCAAGTTCTATTTTTCTTTTAGGTTATAAAATTTTTCTAGGGGTGTGTCCACATTGCCTGTGCATGGATTCCATTCTTGTTCCAACAAAATAGCATGGAATTAATTAATGTTAAAAAGAGTTAAATTTTATATGTACAAGTAGTGTGAGAGCTTCTAAATCAATATTGAAGATGTGATAGATAATAACTTTGGTGTTTCAGATTTAAGATTCAGAGGACCTGACCATAAATCTTGGCACTTGTTTCCTTTGCTAGGAGACATCTTCTAGTATCTGGAAACAGTAGAGAAAAGCTATTGACAACTTCAAATTCACTGTTGTATTTTGTATCTTGATTCAACTATAACAATACTTAACTTGGAAGTAGTAATTCTTAGTTTGGATGGAGTGTTGTAACAACCTACAAAAACCACAAATGCTCATCTTGAATTTCAGATGTTACTTTAAGTGTTGGGAGTAGGAGTAGATCTTGCTGGTTTTGTTTTTATATTAAGCCACAGAATGTTATCTGCGAGCTAAACTGAAAAAAACTCTCTTCCTACACTTAAAAGATTCTAGTACTCTGGAGTTGAATTGGACCTCCACAATTTCTGAAAGCAAGAAATTAATTTATTCAATTAGCTGAAACAATATTTAAATATTTCAGTTATTAAAAAGAATGATTTATCAGTTACTGCTTAGAATATGCTGCTTATCATGTCATACACCTCAGCTGTTTTTTTGAGCCAATATAAAATTACTTTCATTTTGGAAGAACTTTTTATTTCAGAGGAACTCTTTGTTCCTTCCTATCTTCTGAAAAGCTTAGAATAGTTGAAATATGAAATGCAAGACTGCCTTAGAGATGTCTCTGTTTGTGATTTCTGTTGTATATTTGTGAATCTCTTGATTAAAACTGTGGAGGAAGTTCTAATAAGGTTGTAGGTGCTTTTTTGCATTAGAAGTATCAAAAAATTATAAATAGGTACATCCAAGTGATTTCTAGGCAAGCTTTAGAGCCATTGAGATCACATCTATGCTGAGAGAGAAGCACTGTTTTGAGTTTGACAGGAGTGAACTGATAAGTTGTAAAGGCTAAACTACTAAGTTTTGGGCTACATATATATGGGCATATTATATATATATTAAAAAAATTATAACTATAAATATATATATATTATACCAGTATTCATTCATTGTGAGTTTCTCTTTCATTAGGCGGGTAAGCACCAGGAATATGAACAGAAACTACTGCAAGAATTATACAAACTAAACCCCAACTTTCTCCAATTATCTACGGGTACAGTTGACAAGAACAAGAACAAAGTGACAGCACTGCAGAGGTACGATGCGTAAGTACTGATGCTGGACTGCCTGGTTATTCTTTCTGGTTATTCCAAAGAAGATTTTTATTCCTGTTTGCTCCCCTAAATTGCCTACTGTTTTTAGTAGCTATTATGTGATAAAATCTGATTTTTTTTTTCTCCTGTGGAGAGACGTATTGTTTAGGAGTGATATTCTCCAATTTAGTGTTCCCTCTGAAGCCGCTCCATATTCCTCCCCCTTACCCTCCCCTGTACCAGGCAGGAGAGGAAATTTGGAGGCACAGAAGGTAAAGATCAGAACAAATTACTGGAAACAACAGTGAGATAAGAAAACAGTACCACCACTAATACAAATGACTGAGGGTACACGAAACAGTCCAACGATTCACAAGTGATTGCTTACCCCACAGAAGCCCCCAGCAGTAGTGACCACTTCCTCTGCTAGGCTATGCTGACCCATAAGAGAGCCTTTCCCCAGAAAATTAGTTAGGGTGGTATGGAATTGATTGTCCTAGTCATGCCCCTTCCTGGCTACTGCAAAAATTAACCCTGTCCTGGCCAGAACCAGGACACGTGCACCACTGTTCTAAAACAGAGTGTGTGTCTTAGGAAAGAAACATGTTTCTGCATTTGGATCAGTAGTTCAGAAGAATGTATTCTGAAAGAAGACCCTGTATTTTATATTTGCAAACCAAATGCATTTGTTCAAGACCAGATGTCTACTTCCTTGGTATGGTATCATTATGAATGCAGTCTGTATTTTTATAACTGAGATACCTTATAACCTTAATATGTTTTTTAACATTATAATTTATAGTGCAGTCCATATATTTTTTGCTATGTTGTAACTGCAGATATAACTTATGGCTTGCTAAAATAATGTTCTGTTTATGTAGTTTGTTCAGTAAGTTGTGGAGAGATTTCTGTCTATATGAGTATACAGTTACACAAAGATAAATGAAATTCTGAGGAAATTATTCATTCAAATGTCATATGTAAGATAAAGAAATAAAAACTGTTGACAAGTTTTTCCACTCCTTTTTGTAGGAGTTTGATAAAGGAGATGGGCAGAGCGGAATGTGAAAGTTAGATTGCACTTCATATGAACCTTGGCCTTGTATTCAGGGTTTGTATTGTGTGCCAGTTCATGCACTACTGAATTTTTTAGACAATACTTTGCCAGTGGCAGCATCACTGCACGGCAATCTAAGCAAGACAGTGGGTACTGCATCTAAAATACTATCAATGGGTCTTGAATGAGCAGAATACCATTCTGACAACTGGTATTCCAGCTAGTATACTGGAACTATTTTCTTTAATTTCTGGAGGCAGTTTCATTTGCACTTTGACTGCAAGTGTTCAGGGCTTCCAGAGGGATCTTTTTTCTTAAGGACAGAGCTGCTTCTTATTTCTCAGGCACTGGTTCAATATTGACTTCAAAGGTAAAGTGCAGCAAGCAATATACCACTTCTTGAACTTGCGTATTGGTTATTTTATGTTTGAAATCTGAAATAATTTTAATTTGAAACCTGATTAGATCCCAGCAAAATAAATTACACCACTGTGGGAAGAATGCACTGTCTGAAACTGCAACTAACTTTTATGACTTTAGGAAGCAATTAGGAGTTGGCGCTTAGCTTGTCTGTGGTGCTAACATACAGCACTTAAAGAAAAAAATGGCATGTTACTCTAAAGGCAGCAAGTGGTAATTTCTGGAGGTAATTTCTCTTGTCAGTTGAACAACATAATCACAGCTTGGACTCTGTTCTTTGCTAATGCCTGGATACCACCTTTAGCATTGCAAAGTCAATTTTCTGCAGCTGGGGTTTGAACATATTTTGTCGGAGCTTTTGCACTGATGAATGCACATTGTTCTTTCACAGTTTCTACCAAACTGGGTTCTTGTAGGATTGTTGTTGTAGGATTCGTTGATACGATATTCATATTTCTAGCGGTTTGTCACAGCCTCTGACAGCTCCAAAGTGGTTGTTTTTCTGGGGAGCAGAATTTCTGCTTCATAACAGAATGGAATAGAAGCTGAGTTGTAAGGAGTGGATACTTAATTATAAATATCCAGTAGTAGAAAAGAGTTTGTTAAACTCTGATAAGTGTTTTTTACAATTGTTTTAATTTGAAAGGTCCTACTTGCAGACCTTTTCTTCCTGCTGAAGACAACTGTTAAAATCCCCTAGGGACAGACTGTGTACTTATCTCCTGCTATGTTACTTGATAGTCATGGTGTCTGTGTTCTCTTAAAATTTGAGATATATTCCACATTTAAAACAGATCAAACTTTTCAATTTTCTTAGTGGCATTTTTCTGAAGAATTAAATGAATATTTTCTTATGCTACAAGAAGAACAAATTATTAAACACATGCTGGTCTTTTACAGAACAGACCTTCAGAGACATGCAGCCTGAACTTAACTAAAACAAAAAAAAAAAAACCCACATGCACAAAACCCTCCACTTCAAAACACACACCAGTTTGTTTCTCTTTCCCTTTTTCCTTGGATGAAAGACTCACTTTTAACTGGCATTTTAAAGTTTTAAAGTTTGTTTTAGTACAGAGATGGCTTTGCACTGCAGTGAACATAAATTTGAATATTTAAGTAAAATCTAGATTATCAAAATTGTCAATCAATTTATTTTAATTTTTGTACTATGAGATTGTTAAATGGCAGGTATTCTGCTGCTTTCACTTCATTCCCTGATGTTCTGTATCTGATCAACTCACTAACTCTTAGTCCAAATGTGAGCAAAGCCAAGATGAGGTCTGTAGATCAGATCAAGGTACTCATCTATGTACATATTGTATATGTAGTTAAGAAAAGATGGATACAGAATAGCAAATCTTAAAATACTGAGATTTGAGGGGAGCTATTATTACTAATGTTATCTGAATAGAAGTAAGGAAGTATTTGTGTTGCTATAAGCAATTACTGAAATTTCCAGATTCTGACTGTGAAATTAGTAAATTGACTTAAAGATGTAAATGGACCATGTAATAGGAATATACTAATGTAAGGGAGCATCAGGAAGGATATATATGTTAAGTGGTTTTTTTCATGAAAGCTGCTTTCTTATGAAGATAGGACTTGGACACTAAAACCAGCTCCTTATAGAAGCAAATAAAAAGCTACAGGTAACGTAGAAGAACTTGAGAACACAAAAAAAGATCTTATATAATAAGATGGCAGCGTTGACAGGCAATACTGTATTTGAATACTTTTGGTTATAGACTATATTCCATTTTGCTTAAATTTGTACAGAATGTAACTATTTACTTTGGGCTTTGAGTCCTCTCTTGAACTTTTTCAGTTCTAATGTGCACTCTAAAATGAAATTGAATATTGCTTTATAAAAAGGGAAGTAATTATGACTTTAAACTAGAAATGAAGGGAGCAGTAACTTGAACAGTGTATTTGCCTGGCTGGTCTCATGGTCTGTTAGTAAAGCTGTGGACTCCTCTGTAGGTGTAAAACATAAAACTTCATCTGTTGTGGCCAGGCTTGATAGGACCTGGAATATAAAACATATATTAAAAAAATAATTACTTAGCTCATGACTTACAGAACTTAAAAGTTATGGGCTAAAGCAAGTAATTCTAAATGAGGTATGCAGAAGTCTGGACACTTGAACTATTCATGGCATTTTTAATTTTTATTTACATTTTTTTCCTCTCCTTCAAATGGGCAAGTTTGGACTTTAGGATTGGCAAAGCAGCTATCTATTCAGGAAAGAAAACAGAATTCCCTCTGGTTTTCTCTCTACCCTACCTATCCCACTAATTTTTTTATGTCGTCACCTTTTAAAAGCTGAAAAATAATATCCAGATAAATCTATTCTTACAGATTGTCTGGCACAAAGATTTATTTCCCCAGTGGTTACAATTTTTAAAACACTTTCTTCATAACTTGAACTCTTCTATTTTTTTTTTTATTTTACTCTTGCCTTTTTCCAGACCCAACAGTAATAACAAAGATGCCTGGCCATCATTACAGAGTTCAAGTAAATCGGCCAACGGTTTAACAATGGAACACAGGAAAACGCCTCCTATATTAGAAAATGGCACAGACCCAGAACACATGACTCCAGATGGTGCAGACTCAGATTTCGGGTAATTGTGCTGCCTTTTGTACTTCAGATAGCTTGCTTTCTCTCTCACTGATTGGTGTGGAGGGAATGATTCTTCAGTCTCTCTGATTGGAGAGCTGGATACAAATCCTGATCAGGTCATAAAAAGCTGGGCTTAGTGTAGCCCATGTTAAAAAGACTGATTGGCACACTGTGCAGGAGAATCCTAACATAAAGTTAGTAAGTGACAGTACAGGTAATGGCTGAGGAGAACGGAATAACCAGGGGATCAACAGCTTGTACAGCTGCACAGTCCCAGTCAGAGCTGAGCCCTTCCTTTTTTTCTGTACAGAAGCTTCCACAAAAGTAGCATGCTATTTGGTGCACATCAGGAGGCTTGTCACTTGGAAAAGCTTCAGTAAAATGTTAGGGCTAAAATATCTGTCATTTCCTTCCAGTGCTGTGTTGCAGAAACACAGCACAGAGGAAAGGGTTCCTCAGTTACCACTCAGAGGGACAACAGAGGCAGCAGGTTGAACTGAGTCTTCTTTGTGTAGAGGAAGTAACTCATCTGGTTACAATAATCTCTTATTACCAACCAACATTTTTTTATTTTTTGATGCTCTTCTTGAGTAGAACTGGTGTCCTCTTCCACCTTATGCATCACTAGAAGTTACAGTCTTAGTCTATAGTCATGCTGGTTTGTTTCTTCTGGACCCCTTTAGGTAATAAACATTAGGTTTCTTCAGAGGTTGGATGGGAAAAAAAACAAGGTAAACCCTTATGTTTCAAGTAGTGGTGCTGCTGATCAGGTAGCCAGTCTTCATTTTAAATCAATATTGAACCAATGCATTAAAATGGAGAGTGTTGTTCTAAGTGGTACCTTCTTGTTAGGCTAAATAGCAGTCCCACTGAGGAGCGATCAGAGAGCCTGTGAATTGCATCGCAGTAGTGATGTGCAGTTCTTTTTTTTTCTGAACAGAATGTGTTTAATGTAAATAAAAATATTGTAGTCAATAGATAATGAGCCTTATTCATTTTGGAGGGCTGGAAGTCTATCTTGCAGATAAAGGCTCCTTAGGCAGGTTCAAGTATAATAGATATTTTCATCATTTAGATTGTGAGTAAAAGTTGTCTTACTCACAGCTTTTTAAGCTGCAGTATGGTGAATGTTAGCTCTGTAGGAAAAGAATTTGACTGGAATATCAGCTCTTCAGTCGGAATTGATTGTGTAATGAAGAGTCTACAGCAGACTTCTGTGCTATAAGAATTTAGAAATTAGTAACCAAAAGCAGTGTGTTTCAAATTATTCATGCTGTTGGATCACCAGGTAGAGAATATTTGTAAATCTTCACTGGAGTTACTCAGTGATTTTTCTTTTATAGTCATAAGTATCTTGGCTTAATTTATCTGTTTGAGATACTAACTCAAATCAGTGCTCTTTTTTCACAAAAAAAAAGTATTGATGATTACTCTTACACCGTTTATTTTAGAATGGAAAATTCTGGGTTTCGATTACTCATTTTGGAGTGAGGGGAAAAATTACAAGTGGAAGAAATGAATAGTTGACCTTACTAGATGGCTGTATGCAGTAATTAAAGTTTGCAGCAACAAGGGCTGTTTGAATACAAGCTGTATCTAGAATCTGAAGTCTGCACCCAGTTAAAAGAAATTGTTACATATATTTTTCAACATCCTGACTGTAATTTAACTTGCATCATGTTGTGGCCTCTTAGTGGAACTGAAATTCATGTTCTTACTTCTGATGCTTGCTTGTAGAATCTGTGTATTGGCCTGTGCAGCATGATGCTTGTGCATCTTTTCTCATGGGTAAATGAAAATAAGAGTACCTTGAAGTTCCAAAGCAAAGATTTTAGTATGAACTTCAATAATATCATTTAATTAGTGCGGTATTTAGCATTATTGAGGCAACTCACAGATGCCTATAAGAATCTTGAATAATTTCAGCCAAGTCACCATAATTTGCAGTGAATGGCTTTCTGAAGTGGTTTTCTGCTGAATCTTATATTATCCTCGTTTTTGGCAGTTTTTTATACTATGTTTTTTCCCCTTCTGTCATCTCAAACCTCAGTCTTAAAGGCTGGTGGGAAGCTTAACTTGCCACCAAGACCAAATCGTTAAATTTAATGTTTTATCTCTCCCAGATTTATTTAGGATTTGTATGGAAACTGAAAATCAGTGTGTTTGGAAAATAGATATTTTCCAGTTTCTTTAGAGTAGTATCACAGATGGAACTAACTATTACAATATACTGTCGTAGTATAGAGTTCTAGGGTTTTGTGTGGCTTAGAGCTGCTATGAACATGTTCAATACTCTCCTTAAGGCAGTCAGCAAGCAGGATGGAGAGTGGTGAAAAGAAGTATTACAGTATATGACAAATGTTTGGAATGCTTATGATTAAAAAAGCACTCTCATAAAAAATAAGTGGACTTTTTTCCTTCTTAATTCATACTTTTTAATTTTTGTCTTAATTTTAAGGCTTTTCTTCCACTACAAAAGCAAATGTTGATTTTTCATGTTAAACACTTGAGTTCCTTACTGTCTTTTTCCCTCCCGCTTTTGCAGCCCTATTGATAAACCTTCCGATTCACTCAGTATAGGAAATGGTGACAGCTCTCAACAGGTAAGACAAAAAGATAAGTGCTCTGAAAGTAACAAGTGGGTTTGAGGACTTAGTACAACTCGCATTTGGAGAAGCAAGTTTTTTCTGAAGTGTAGCATAATTGGGCATTGTAATGGGCTGTCCCAGGAGGTGGTGTAGTCTCTGGAGGTGTTTAAGAAAAGATGGAAGTGGCACTTAGTGCTATGGTCTAGTTGACAAGGTGGTGTTTAGTTATAGGTTGGACTCAATGATTCCAATGATCTTTTCCCACTCTAGTTGGTTCTGTGATAATTTTAAACAATTGAAAAATGCTATTGCTAAGTTGATTTTTTTGTTTGACCTTGTGCTGAGCTATAGATTAACAAAACTATTTGTGGCCAGGAGCTTTGAGGAAACTTTTCATCTGAGTTAGTGAAGAATAGAAGAATATTTAATATATAAACTCATGTCCTAATTTTTCTCTTTCTCTCCTGTTTGTAGATAACAAACAGTGACACACCTTCACCACCACCTGGTTTAACAAAACCCAATCCAGTTATACCCATCAGTTCATCTAATCACAGTGCAAGGTCTCCTTTTGAAGGGGCTGTAACAGAATCACAGTCACTCTTCTCTGACAACTTCCGGCACCCTAACCCCATCCCTAGTGGGCTTCCTCCATTCCCCAGCTCTCCACAGACTTCAAGTGACTGGCCCACAGCACCAGAACCACAGAGCCTTTTCACGTCAGGTACATCCACAGGTTACATGGTTGGGTGTTGCTTGCTTTTGCGGTTGCTTAAAACTTGTACAGAGTTGTACAGAGCTTAAAACTCTGTAGAACCTCAGACTCTAAGACTTGTTTCATACTGTGTTTTCCCACCTTACAAATGGTTAAAATTTGTCACTTAACTGCAGATGAATTGCACTGACTTAAGGGTTTCTTCTTAAATAAACTTTGAAGAGCTTTCAAGCTGCATGATTAAATTATCAGAGTACTTATTTTAGTTTTTCCTAGCAACATGCATAGGATGTGACATGTATGCTTTAATATTTAGTGTTACAGGTTTTTGAAAGGGGGAAAATACATGATATCAATATATTTTGATGTGATACTCTGTAATTCTAATATCAGAAGCTGTTGTGTAAAATTCAGAATCTTCTTAGTATCCTGCATAGTTATCTGAAGCTGTCTCATCTTTCTCTTTGAGGTGAGATTCTGTAAATTCAGACATGTTAAATTTCATCAGCTGAAAGATGATCAAAGATGATGAGTACCTGTATTTTTCAGGTACTCTCCTATGAAATACCTTGTCATATGCACAAAACATTGTTTTAGTTGTAATGGTATAGTCTTGGAAATGGTTAACAGTATTTAAGAGCTCACGGATAACTCTGAGGGAATTGTTAGAAAATTAAATGAAACAGTATCAGTAAAAAAATTGAATGTAAATAATATTACATAGTTTACTTAATGATTAGTCATCTTTTGATGTTCATCTTGCTTCTGGATATCTTAATTCTGTTTGTAAACAATACTTATTACCAAGGAAATTCCTTTCTGCTAAGGCGCTTGGTGCACCAGTTTTGTGAGGATTAAGTAGCAGTGAGAGATAAGTTCCAGGTAGTAAGGATCATAGTTAATATAAACTGTATGTTTGTGGTTTAAATAACCACAGGACAAGTGGTTTAAACAACGAAAGGACAAGTTCTTGTTGGCCTAGCAACTCTTTATCTATCTATCTTCATGGATTTTAGAGTGAAAATAGAAGTGTCAATTTCTTCTCTGAGAGGATACTGAACCTTCTTACAGCAGCAGACCAGGTCCCTACCAGCAGAGGGAGTTAATGGTGCAAGTGATGCTACCCTGTACTTAGCAGGTTGCTTGACCACAATTTTGAGGAAAAATAATGTGAAGATAGACCAGAAGTCACTGAACTTGAATAGCTAACTTAACACAATCATGAAAAGCAGTAATAACTGAAAATTAAGACAAATTCTGATAACTTTTTTTGCAATACTGCCTCAAAATATTTAACAGTATCTTGTAATGCAGTTCTTTTTTGTTTTATCATTGTCTCCTTAAGAATTTGTCTTGTTTCTCTTCATAATGGTAGACAGTAGGGGATTTTTTGTGGGTCTTGTTTATTGGTTTTGTTTTTTGAACTACTGCTCTGAGGTTCTTCCTTTTGAGAGGGCACATCCTGCTTATCTTTTTCGCACAGTATTTTAATAGTGAAAGCAAAATATTGAACTGAGTAACAACCTTATTTATGCTCTGCTTGTTCACACTTCCATTAAGTAGTATGGGGTATAGAAGGTTCTAAGCAAGTGGTCATTGGTCTTTCTACTTGGGACTATTCCTGAAAATACTTTCTGTATAAGGTTTTTCCATAGTTCAAGAACAGTGCAGCTATGCAGTAAAAGTGTTATTTCCTACTTCTAGCACTTCACCTTTAGTAGAAGTCTATGACAGTTTGATCTGAAAATGGCATTCTAAGCTGATGAATAAGGTGTCATTGGGGAACATATGAAGTAGTATTATATAGAAGATAAAAGACCACAGTCAGATACACAGGCTGAAGCTTTTATATGGAAAAATGATTTCTAATTCTTGTTCTAAATCCTGTTCCTTTCTTCTTCAACAGAAACTATACCAGTATCCTCCTCCACAGACTGGCAAGCAGCTTTTGGGTTTGGTTCCTCCAAACAGCAAGAGGACGACTTAGGGTTTGATCCCTTTGACATCACCCGCAAAGCCTTAGCAGACCTGATTGAGAAGGAACTGTCAGTCCAAGACCAACCTTCCCTTTCACCCACATCTCTTCAGAACCCTACCCCACACACTACAACTGCCAAAGGGCCAGGTTCTGGATTCCTGCATCCTGCTGCACCCACAAATGCCAACTCTCTCAGTAGCACCTTTCCAGTCATGCCACAGAGGTTTCCACAGTTTCAACAGCATCGAGCAGTTTACAACTCCTTCAGTTTTCCAGGCCAAGCGGCTCGCTATCCTTGGATGGCCTTCCCACGCAATAGCATCATGCACTTGAACCACACAGCAAATCCCACCTCAAATAGTAATTTCTTGGACTTGAATCTCCCACCACAACACAGCACAGGTCTGGGAGGGATCCCTATATCAGGTAGGTGAATAGGGACAGCGGTGAATATTAATTAATTCATGCTCTCAGCTTCTCTGAGTCAGAAAAGGTTAAGGAAATAGCCAGAAACGAGCAGTAGACTGTTACCTCTTGACTGTCATACTAGGTTATGAACAGAGGGAGGAATATTGTTTTAAATAGATCCTTTTTTTTAAAAAAAAGTAACTGGATATTTAGCCTTGTAAATGTTGAGCTTTATAAGGAAGGTGGAGTATTATGTGCCCGATTAATTTTGTGCCAAAGCAGATTGGTATTTTGGCTCTTCAGTCTTGCCAGACTGGCATCACTTAAGAATAGGCCCTGGAAGTGCATTGTGACTTTCACGTTGATATGCAGGTGTTGACCAGAGTCCTTAAAGTCGTGTGAAACATTGTAATGATGGTAATTTGTGCCATATATCTTGGCTGGGTCGTTTCCTCTTGTGCATAACCAAATGGCTACACAGTAAAGCATTCAGTACTGTTCATTTCTGTACTTCAGATGGCCTTAATATTATGCTAATCTTCACTAAATGGATGCTTGCAATGTGTATAAGAGGATTCATTCTCATTCTGTGGGTTGTGATGTAGGAGAAAAATAAATGTGCAGTCAGGCCAGTTTAGGCTGCCCTGAGTGGATTAATAGGCACTTGCATCAAACATTTGCAGCTAAGGAGCTAATTGTCACAATAATTGTCTTGATTAAAAATTTACTTCTGGGGTTTGAAGTTCTTCCACACTTTCAATTTAGCTTGTCCCAGACAAATTTGCTTCTTTTAACAGGGGAAAAATTGTATTACATGAATAATGAACTGCAGGTAGAAAGCCTGTTAGCTCTTTGTAGCCTTAAGGTGGAGAAAACTGCTCCTTGAGATGTTGCCAGCATTGTTTTATTTTCATAGGTTTTAGAAATACTAGCTTTACTATAAGAACGTGACCTAGGAAAATGTTAGTGGATTTTTTTTGGTGCTCTAGTACAAGAACTGGTTTTGGCTGCTACTTGGCTGTATTTTGTCCTCTTTGAAGGCTTGTTCCAGCTACTTTACTGTTGAAGGGTCTTAGGATGATTCAAGTATAAACATGGTCCATACTGCAAGTGGAGGTAGTTCAAAACTCTGTACACTGGCAATAGCAAAGTTTTAAACCAAAAATGACTGATATTGGTTGCACAAAAAAAAAAATGTTTCTGGCATGGAGCATCCATGGCTGCACTGTTGCTCCCTTTCCCCTAAACTACATGCAGCTTTCAGAAAAACAACAGGACATCACTCTTCACTCTTACCACTCAGTTGTAAAAACTTCTACTTTGAGGGGTCAGTAACAAGACTTTTATGACCTGGGGGACCATAAAAATCCTGTAGTGTTGAAAAAGATCTGTTCAGGTTGATTCTGGGTTTGCAAAAGCATTGCATTATTTTAATTTTAGTTAGCAGTTTGAAAGTATAACTTTTTGTGTTTGTAGGAGACTTGTAGATTTTTTTTTAAATTTCTGAAGAGCAGGTTGTATGGTGCTGGCTGTGCATAGCCCAGGCCGTGCGCTTCCCCCATATGTTTTAAGGTAACAGAATGGATATTTAAGGATGTCCTTTTTTTGTATGCAACTGCTACAACCTATTAATCTAAAAATATTTTTGGCAAATATTGTGCTAAAACCAAAATAAACATCTGCTGTAGTAACCATGGAAAGTTCCTTTATGTTGGTTTTCATCTCTTGTTATAGAAAATATTGCTAATGTGCTGGCTGACAATTAGATAGCAGTTGCTGCAGTGCAAGCACTCAGCTGATATATGTCAGCTTTGATATATCTTGAAAAAAGAATATTTTGCACAAGGATAGATGACTCCTTTTTCCTGCTGCCAGAAGTCAGCTGAAGTCTCAGTTCTGGTTTAGTTTGCTGGGTTATGGGTTTGTATTGTTTGTATTTATTTTAGTGCTCTAACTGCTTCAGAAGTACAAATAATTTGGAAGTCTGGTGAGGACCTCATGGTTCTTTTCTTGTGTGCTGACTTAATAGTTTCCAGTTTATTATCATTTTTTAATCTGCATCTAGACTACAGGCCTCTCAATCCCTTTTATATTCTGTTCGAAAAAATAATCTATCAGTAGCAAGTATTTAATTACAGAATTGTCCAAGTTTCCTCATGTAATTTACAGATACATCTATCTGGTGGGGTTGGGAAAAGAAAGTGGTGTCCAAGTACAGAGAACTCATGTGTATAAGACTTTAGCATACCCTAGCTGACCTACTAGAAAGGCAGTACATATCATAACAGCTATTTGGCAGTATGGAACAGTTAGTTGTAGTAGACCTGTCCTTTCTCTTGGCTTTTTTTAGTCCATATTAGGGTGTTCAGTCAACATTGCCAACTTGGCTGGTTTAGATATAACAGGAAAAGAAACTAAGTGCAGGTGAAACTTCACATTCTGTCTTGTAGCAGAGACCCTCTACTGCTGTAAAAGCTGTATGTTTCTTAAGGTGTTTGTTCAGTTTTTTACAGGATTATAAATTCCTAAAGTAGCTCATACTGGACTAGTTACTGGTAAAAAAAATAAATGGTGGGAACAGGCACACTACTCTTTATCTGCCTGCTCTATTTAACCAACTCTTTTGAAGCTTTTTATTTATGTCAAAATAAGCAGATCTAGTAACTTCTATACATTCACATGTTAGTATAGTATTTTCTAGGCTTTCTAAATCTGAAAGAGGTATATTTGTGGTATGGAAGCTTGTATTAAGAAAATAGTATCTTTTAAACTGCTGTTTCCACTTTAGACATTATTACTCACATGAATTTGAAATGCTCATGTGTGACATGTTAAATGTAATTTGCTGAAACGGCCTTTTGTTTATTTGAGAATCAGAGCTGTGCTGTATTCATAAACTCACAGCTTCAGGCAGGTCTGCTCTGTGATGTGTACCAAATTTAAATGGAGGAACAAGGGCATGATCTAAGTTTCTTTTTTTTTTTTAATTAAGCTCTCACTTAAAAATAATTTCTATGTGGAATTTGTTTGCTCATTTGTCAGAGGAAGTAGTTAATTATTAACTAATTCTGCTGTTTCCAGTGAAATGACACAATGACACATGATTGATTTCATAGACCTATTATGCGTGCACTTGAAATGTGTCATATTCATCAGGCATACATTTGTCCTCAACCCATATTTAAATGAACTTTCTGATTTATTGGTTCCCAGAGTAACTTTTTTTTTTCTTCCCCCACTGTATCATTTTTCAAATTGTAGCAGATGTTTCATGTTGTCATTTTCAGGGACAATTTAAGCTTATTGCTGCTCTCTGGTGTGGGATTGATTAGATGGTTTACTGTGAAGTTATAAATGTGTAACTGTGCTTCAGGAGACAAGTCCAGTGACTTCTTCATGGACAGTGTGATTCTTGCTACAAAGCAGTTTACTCTAGATTGTACGCAAACTATCCTGAGAATATTGGCCAGCAGCTATGCTTTGTCCTGCAGATGATGCCAAGGGAAAGACTGATTTACTGACAGCAGTGTGGGTGGGTGTATGCCTTTATTTTTATTTTACTATAGGATAACGGGAAGCTCTATGTAATTTGATAGCTACCATCATCTTAGCTGCCCTACTGCCTGGTGATGTGTTCAAAAATAATAGGTACTGTATGGGATCATAGACTAAGGTAGGATTCAGATTAACAGTGTGTTTTGAAGCTGATGCTTACAAAATGAGATATATGCTTATTAATTTGAAAATATAAATATATGGTTCTATTTATTGAATTTACTGAGTGGTTTGTAGTAATTGATTTTGCTACATAGAAGTACACTAACAAACTCACAGAGTCAAAAGTATTAGGAAAAAGCTGAAAATGGTTAGTCCATTTTCCCCATCAGTTCTACACAAGATGAAGTACTTGACATTTTGAAACACTAGCTATTACTTCATTTATTAACGTCATAATTACCCTGAATGTAAAACTTAATTGTAAGCTTTCTCTAGACCATAATAATGAGGTAGGTCAAGCTGTTCCAAGACTACTCCTTAAACAATATATATATTCTTCCCCAAAAAATCATTGAAGCCCCTGAATTGGAAGGGACCCACAAGGATCATCAAGTCCAATTTCTGACTCTGCACAGGGCAGCCTAAAAATTAAATCATATGTCTCAAAGTTTTCTTCAAATGCTTGTTGAACAGAGGCAATTTATGTATATCATACATATATTAAAAATACAAAAGGAGGAAAGGATCAAGTGGACAGACAGATACGAAGCATAAGAATTTAACCTTATTTAGGATGGAGAAAAATACTTTATTCATTGTCTTTGAAGATAACCAATGTTACGATGTTACGAACATCATTATGTTCATCAAGATATTTTAACCATGCAGCTGACTGATACAGAAGCTGCTATAGGTTTCTGTGAGCTGTTCCTGATATTTTCAAACATGGGGGCTGAATGTAATAAGTCTGTGTCATATAATATAATGAAGAATCAAAATTTCATTCTCTCAAGACCTTTTAGTTTTGATGTTGTGTCTTATATCTCTTGAATATGTACATACTTATTGATATTATGTATATTTAAAGATGAGACAATAAATGGGTAGACAGCTCTAATAATTTTGGGTGTCCCCCAGCAGTGTGTGTGGTAGCGGTGTTACATTCTTTATCCAGACACAGATTAGCATGTTTGTCTTCATGTCATGGATGCATTTAGGTTTCTGTGAAGCAGTAGCTGGTAACAGAGAGGACGAAGCAATGGCAGTTTTATTAAGAAGGTCAAACATCTTCTCACTTATTTTAAGTGAGCTCTTCCCTTTCTGATCAATTTATGGTGTTGCATCTTCTGCTGCTTTAAATTTTCTGACCTCTATGTTCCCCAGCCATTGAAATTGCCTTGAACATCAAGTCCTGTCTTGCCTAATGCTACCTTTTGGACAAAATTTTAGTAAAAGAAAAGAAGATTCCTATATGTTGACTGTGGTCATATTATTTAAAGAACATATACAGCATAAAAAGA